CAAACCCTAGAAAGAAACTTTACAAAGTGACCCCGTTGTTATCAAAATATATATAAACAGTATTTTTTGCTAGCCATAATACATACTTCCTTATACTGCCAACTGGATATAAAAACTTACATTTCTTTGCTCCACCAACAATAAGTGTGTTATTAACAGAACAAACTTAAAAATATTCCGCATACTTTGATCAGGGTCTATAAATAATGGGTAATTGATCTTTGAATGTAAAAATATACATGTAAAGTTGACATTCCATTTCTCTGAATGTAGAAAACATCTCCGAGAGAAGTATAAATAGATATATCAATTTACTGTTTATGTATCATCATTTTTACCAGCCTTAAGTAAAATGCATTCTTTAAATTTCAAAGTTTTAAGTTTAATTTTTCAATGAATTAAATATTTCCATTTATATATACCACTACATACTGCATACATAAGTGTTTAATTATCTAACACTGTTAGACAGCTGAAAAGTAGTATAAAAAAGTGATAATCCCAATGAAATTGAAAAAATGAGCAAAGCCTAACCAATATGAAGCTGTTTCTGTGATTAACTTGACAAAATGATAATAGTAAGAAATAATTCTCTTGATAGAAATTATTAATAGTGTCACGAAAACTCATAAAAGAACATGTAAAAACATTTCATGAAAAATCTATTAATTCACAGATCCAAACAGTCTAAGAACTTTTGTTCTACCATCTTACTAATTTGGAGTTTTTTTTGTTGTTGTTTAAAAAAATTTTTTTTCCTCTATATAAATACTAAACCACACATCTGATAAACTATGGGGAAAAAATGAGTTATGTATCAGGGACAATTAAAGGAAAGACAAAGAGTGAAACAGTTTATATCAATGTAGACTTCACACAAAATTAAAACCAAAAGACAAGAGTCTTAGAGAAAGAAAAAATGTAAAAACAATTTATGTCAATGTACAGTTCATAAAAATCAAAACCAAAAGTGTCTTGGAAACCATAAGGGGAATTAAAACCTAAAACAGTTCATGCCAATGTACTGAGCATAGTATACATAAGCAATAAGAATGAAATACATGAAAGATGCATCTCACAGAATCCTCATAAAGGAATATAAAAAAATCCAAAACAGTACATGTTAATATAGACCCAAATCACACACAAAGTGAAAAACAACACAAATTTGAAAAGACATATCATAAAAATAAAGAAATCTAATATACTTGTCTTAACATAGCTATTGAGATTATGATTAACAACTGATTGACCTCTGGACAATAATGAACAAATATTTTATCAATTCATCTATAATCAGAAGGCTATCCATACATGGTGCATAGAAGTCTTATCTTCACTTTATTTTCTCAAAGTAAACTTACAAACTTAAAACACTATCTGTTTTGTTATCTGGATAATTACAACAAAAACAACAGACTGGAGAGACATACAGTTGAAATTTTCAAACTGTCATAACTGAAGATTAAACACAAGCAACAAGATTTGCATGCTAAATACTCATTTTTCCATTAAACCTTGTGAAATTAAGCAATACTATATCAACAGAATACTGCTGCAATAATCTGTTTTTAAATATTTTCTACATTATCTCTATGACCATGTACAAAGATCACAAAGGCCCTGTAATCCTAGCAAAGGCATGTGTATAAATTTTAACAAAAATGTAGTGTTATACATTTTTAAACTAGTTTTTTATACATAAAAGTACAACGACAACAGCAACAAACATTTCACACCTGTGAGACAGAAACAGAAATTTAAAACTTGAACATTTCTTTTTTATACTGGAAAAAAAAAAAGAGAGAGTAAAATTATAATACATAAGATAACATAATTACTTGTTTCACAGTCAAAACAGTCAGCTTTTTCTTTATATTTAATATAAGTGACAGCTCAATTTTCACTTCTTTAGAAGGTCTAGATTGCATAGGACAGTTTTACACTACTCATTAATTAAAAATATTTATGCCAGCCTCACAAATCATTACCAGAATTTTTCTAGATTAGTAACATAGTAATGAAAAAACATCCAACTATACTTATCATCATTCTAAACATCTTAGAGAGAAATTTTAATATTAACTAGAGAAAACTAAAAGTCTCTATTTACAATTCAATAGACAAAAGTAGTTGGGGAGTGATTTAAAATTCTAGATATATTAGTGTTTTTCCAATTTCAAAGCATGTAGTTACATGCATTAAAAGTGCCTTAAACCAATGTAGTAATGCCAAGTTCTATAAATATGTTCCAAATACCTGTCAGAGGTGAAAATAACAAAGATATAAGAAAAAATTACTACTGCTGTTTTTGATTTTTTTACAATAAAAGTCCATACAATATAAATACAATTATTTTATGTGTGTATAACAGTGACTATGTTCATAATGTTTCATTTTCTATGTGTAAAAAAATTAACATTTTGACAATGCATAATGTTTCTATTAACTAACAACCCGTGATGTTTAAAGTTAATTACAAAATAGTTAATGAGTGAATTTATATTATTTGGAAATAATTTGAATGTTTTGTGAGAAATGTTTAAAAGATCACAGTAGTTTTAGTAAACAAGGTAAGAAGAAGGCTATAAAATGCCATCATTTCATTAAAATAAAATTAACGGATTAGAATTTATGATAACAAATCAACCAATTTTAATGCAAGTTGAAAAGGTTTAACATATGCAGAAAAGTAAAGTCTTACAAATCACCTTAGCAACAAATATCATTATATTTGTTATCTTTAATATATACAGTTTTTTAATCAAAAACATGCTTTAATGATGTAAACTTTCTCAAAATTTTGTAGAAATAAGCTGAATTAGTTTAATCTACACAGTCTTAGGACCCTGAAATATTTGATGACGAGGTACCCATTTTTTAGAAAATAAACATTTGGAGATGACATAACTGGGCAATGAAGAAAACTTTATTATAAATATACAATGTTTTGACAAGATTATGTCATCCTCAGGTACAAGTAGTTTACAGAGACACGTAAATATATATATATATATATATATATATATATATATACACAGTATGAAACAAAAAGAGGTCACATCACCAGAGGTTGGTATCTTGGTACCCTGAGGTATTGGTTTAGGGTGGGGCTGTTTTATTCAATTAAGACAGCTTCCTTTGTTCTGCATTTATTTATGTTTGGTCCTTTGTTTGAAATTACAGTGTTTTGTATAAATATACTGTGGTTTTCTGAGTTGCAATGGTGGTAAACATAAGAGGGTTTTTTTATTATGTTCAGTGTATCTGATTTCCAATTTTCCAAAAAACATCATAACATTACACTGCAGTTTACCATTTATACCCGACATCAGTTCAGAAATAATCAACACTTGGAGAAAACTTGCCATTAAACATAAACTTCCTGTTGACTTCAAATTCACTCCAAAATCTGGCCCTAAACTAAAATCATTATTAAATAAAAATTACATAGAATCTCACAATACCAACATCATTCATAAAATAATGTGCAATAACTGTCCAGAATTCTACAACGGAAAAACCGGAAGAAAATTGGAAGCCAGATTCACCGAATATAATAAAAAAACCTCTCATGTTTAGCACCATTGCAACTCAAAAAAAACCACAGTATATCTATACAAAACACTGTAATTTTAAACAAAGGACCAAACATCAATAAACGCAGAATAAAGGAAGCTGTCTTAATTGAACATAACAGCCCCACCCTAAACCAACACTCTGGGGAACCAAAATATTTTAACTAGGCTGTGAAGCAATCTCTAGTCATGTGACTTATTTGTTCCATACTGTATATATATATTCATATGTCTCTGTAAACTACTTGTACCTGAGGACGACATAATTTTGTCAAAATGTTTAGCACCATTGCAACTCAAAAAATCACAGTATATCTATACAAAACACTGTCATTTTAAACAAAGGACTAAACATCAATAAATGCAGAATAAAAGAAGCTGTCTTAATTGAACACAACAGCCACACCCTAAACCAATACCAAAATACCTTAACTAGCCTGTGAAGCAATCTCTGGTCATGTGACCTATTTGTTCCGTACTGTATATATATATTCATGTGTCTCTATAAGCTACTTGTACCTGAGGATGACATAATATTGTCGAAATGTCATACATTTATAACAGTTTTCTTCATTATCCAGTCAAGCCATCTCAAAACGTTTATTAGACCCTGAAATATGTTTTAACTACAAAGTTGAAGTACAATGATGTGGACAAAAACAGATGTAACTTTTCTAGGAATGCTAAAAATCAGAGTCGTACCAAAAAACTTTTCAAGACTAACTGTAATTTTAAACAGTCCTGTACATATTTTGCTGTCACGTTACCTGATGAAATATTTACAAGTACTGATATTTGCAATTTAAAGCAACTTAAGTTTCAAATAATCAATAACCAAGATTTTCCTTATAAATGCAAAGATATTACTTTGTACACATACAAGCCTTACATTCACTAAGCCAAAACAAAAGAAAATTCAGATTTACATGTTAACTTATTAGAAAATATAAAATATTAATAAAAAAAATCTTTGTTGAACTCTAAGAAACTCAAATTCTTTAAACAAACATGAAAAATCATAGATTCCTAAGAATAAAAGGAACCCATCTTTCTGACTAATTAACTAAAAAATCTGACAAGAAAAACAACAGAAGGTTAATTACCATTATATGAAATCAAAACAGTTTTGCAATGTAACAATGTAAATATAAAAGATGTAATATATAAATAGCAAATTCTTCTCATAATGAATCTGTTGAAAAGTTCATTTTGTAAATAAAGTCATACAGAAAATGATAAATTCCTCAATTTCCAAAAATGTGGGAAAAAATTCTTTAATGATCACCTTGTTTACTATAAATAGAGTAATAAGCATGAATTAAAAACACATGTTGAAGATGTCTACTTCTTGATGTTTATACACATGTCAAAAGTGTTCTTGAGTAGTAAAGAAACACTTTACTATGAACTGTTGTGGTCAGTACAATCTAAGATGAGCTTTAATATTGCTCAGGAACATTTAACAAACAGCAGTATACAAACCATTAACAACAATAATGGAATCAACACAACAAATACAAGTAGTAGTAACAACATACTTGACAATCCTAGATGCTACTGCTGCATTCTGTGAACAACTGTCCAAATGAAGTGATTTAAAAGTAACCTTCTCCATACTAACCAGTGGCAAGAATCAAAAACTTAACCCTACTACCTTCATATGTATATAACAGATGATAACATGATCAAACATCAAAATACCTATGGGTTACCAAACTGAATGCAGTTTCAGCACAAGGATCTGAGAACAACATAGTGAATGCTATTTTGAATGATAAAAACTCTAAATATAAGTAATTAATAACAATTCAATAATAAGTCTTTTTCAGGGAAGCATTGTGAGAAATAATGAGGATGTGTTGGAAATCTTGCAACAACCCTCCTGAACCAGATCACTAAAGGGTCTTATTAGTAAATATAGCCACAAACTTGCAACATAAGGAAAAGTAGGGATGACGGACAAAATTGACTGGATCTATCAATGAAGAGTCCCAATGGAATTTTGTCGAGCTCTCTTAGCTTCTTCATCACCAATCTGCTGTTCAATGAGATATTGTGCAGTACTAACTGAACTAGGGCATCCCATTATTGTCACAATTCTATTACGAGTTCCAGGTGCAAAAATCCCTTTCTTAGAAATCTGAATATTTGCTCCACTAAATCGCTGGATTTCAACAAGAGACTTTCCTCTTGGACCTAGAATGGCACCTACAATATTTTCACCTACTTCAATTTCTAGCTTACTTGATTCAAATCCTACTTGATCACTTGGAGTGGGGCTTTTTTGGAGAGAAGATGATCCAGAACTAAAGCTTGTCCCAAGGCCAAAAGAGTTGTTATTGATGGGTAAGTTAGGCACTCCTGGAGATCCTAAGGCAGGTGAATTTCTTTGAAAGGGGTCATAAACTGCTTGATCGGTTTGAAATGGGTATCTTTCACCTGATCTACTTATTGTGGGTGAGGAGAAGTTTGGACCAAGTCCTAATCCAGATATTCCATTCCCCATGCTGCCACTAAGAGTACCAAATATGTTAGATGTTCCTCCCATTGGTCCAGTAGAAGAAATACTTGCAGGACAGGAACCATCTAAGGCAGGAATGGCAGTGCCTGAAGGAAACATTCCTTGACTGGTTAATCCACCTGGGGGAAGAGCAGCACAACTACTAGAAGCAGATGTTCCAATTCCCATGTTACTCATCATTGGTGCTCCACCCATGCTATTTAACATACTTCCCAAACTCAGTCCTAATCCCAGTACCCCATAACTTGCTAGTGTATGCATTGCTGCTGTGATCTCTGCAGTAGCCTGGTCTGAATATCCATTTCCTCCAAGCATTGCTTTGATATTTTCAATTAGTTGAGCAATGCTACCTGAAGCACCAATACCCATTCCCATCCCACCTGAAAATGGCATCATTCCACTTGGATTGCCTACTCCTTGGGGGCTTCCAAAGTTGTTGTTCATAGTTGGACTTAGACTATTCAAGCTGCCATTGGAACTGTAGCTAGTGTTGCTTACACTCATTCCACTACTTCCTTGAATATTACTAGCAGCAGCAAAAGGAGAACCAGTAGGATTAAAATTTGCTACAGGTCCAGATGTGTCAGAATAGCTAACATTCAAACAACTACCACTCTGAGGATCTTCAATAATTTTACCCAAAATCATTTCACAGGCTTTTTTGTTATTTTCAACTTCACCAATAACTGTAATACAACGTTCAGCTAAAGCATGATCCCTTGCTTTTTGAGATATCTGAACATACGCACCACTTTCCTCTTTTATTTGCTTAACGAAGCTTCCACCCTTCCCTATGATCATTCCAGCAGTGCTGTTAGGAACCAGTATTTTTACCTACAGAAAATAATTAGGAAATAATGAAATTTGACATTGTAACTATAAAGTATTTGTCATGTCTAATTACTTAAATTACCCTTGAAACACGTTTATAATTTCTAGTAAAAGGTATTTTTTTAAACATACAACATAATTTTCTTAGTTTATGTGGGGGAGGTAGGGATAATCATTGCATTTTCACCTTGGTTCAGATAAAGTATTCAGAATTATACTGTTCAAAATTTTGTTAGATCTTTGTGACTGAAAGTCTGAAGTAAAGAAATCACTGTAATCTGTTTTAAAACCTTAGGCAAAGAAAAAATGCTGTAGTACTGGGATTTCTGATTAACACTATAGACTGATTAATTTAAAAGGCTTCTACTTTACTAACAGTCAATTTAGTTTGAGCATTGTTTGTAAGAACAAAATGTACATTTACACATTTCATACTAAAGATTAAATACCAATAAAACAAATTCACCTGTTTTTCCCTTTCTGCAGGTTGTTTGTTGTCAAAATCAATAGCCATTTTAGCATTTGGGTCAGGTTTTTCTCTGATTCTTTCCATTATAAATTCATGAACTTGTACAATCCCATTCACACTGCCAGTGACAAGACACACCCGTTCTGTCGTTCCTAGAAGAACAAGTATTATGATAAACATTTAGTTATGGAAGAAAAAATATATTTGATGTGTATACACTCCCACATCACTATAATGTAATGAATAATGTGTTATGAACAGACCTCATATAAAGCAGTCTAAAATAACAAGTTTTGTTAAAATTTACACAGCAATACATTCATAGTTTGAATACTAGAAGAACTACAGAGTTCTCTTAGTTCAGTTGTGGTTTTCTTTGTGACATCACAATTGTTTCTTTAGACATTACACACCAAAACAATTCTGATATCACAAAGAAAACTATAACTGAACTAAGAGAACTCTACAAAAACCTGTTAATAAATATCACAAACAACAAACTATTTTTTACTTTGTTGATCCAAATTTATCAGTATTATACATGTCTAGTTATATTACCTAACAAGCTTCAATCTATTTTCATAAAGCTGTTCAATTAATATTTAGTTGATTATTTAGGTCATGATTTCAAATTCACTACTATTTAACAAACCTTGCCTTTGGATTACAATAAAATAGATTAATAACTATTTATAGGTACCAGTCAGTACCCATAATGAATAACATAACTTGTTATAAAATAGTGAGATTCAAATAGGCTTTATCTAATGGTCAGGAAGTAAATTAATTTTGACTGACCTTCAAACAAAGCCTCTCCCACTACTTTAAATCACATTGTCATTTAGTTTCAGATGATCGTCACAAATGAATAATGACTCCTATGTCCCAATATGCTCCTCCTTTCCTTAGAAATCAAGTGATACTCAGGCAACTATTAAGTGGGGAAGGGATACGTTCACCCAGAATAAAATATATATCTTGTTTTAAAACAGCAGATTTCAAGTGTGACAAACTGCTACCAGATAGAGACAAAGTTGAATTTCCCATAATGAAGAGGATCCAAAATGAATAAGAAAGATAATATTTTCTTCCTTTGCAAGTAAAAAAAAAAAGAAAAAGGTAAGACAAATAAAAGTCACACAAACACTAAGGTCTAGAAGAGATCACCAAGGGTCCATGAACAGATAGTGAGTTTTAATGTCTATCAGATCACTTAAACAACTTAGGGACATATATATTAAACTCAACTTGTTCAGGCTTTACCAACATTGATTTCAAGAAACAGAAACAGGAATACATCTTTTGTAAAACTGAAAGAATCTAAAATAAAAATAAAATATGAAAGTATGTAGGGTGACCCACCAGAATGAAACCCTGGGTCACAATATACTTGATAAAGTAAGAATCTTGCTCTCTCAAAACAAGAATAACAGTCTCCTTAATGTTAAGGAGTAATCAACTAGAATAAAATATTAATGCCTATGAGGTGGAGGGTTAGCTGCATGATACATCATCATGCAGTAGTGCATATACATGTGTTTTTGGATGAATTTTAAGTGGGAGTTTTCAAAAGTTTTGTGGCACGCAAGTCTCTTTGGCAGATAGCACAAGTTCAATAGGAAAATAGCTATTTCTGTATGGAGGTGAGTGGTTGTATCAGAATTATAATATTTTCAAACTTAATACAGTTTATATCCAGTTAACATGTAATAAAATTTAAAACTAAAAAGTTATCAAAATGTTACAAACCTGGATAAAAGTCATTGGCTTTAGACATTTTTATCCTTGTACCAGTCTTTTTCTGTAACTGAGCAACTGTTTCACCACCCTTACCAATGATAGCCCCAGCAGCAACAGAAGGCACCAAAATCTTAAAATGATATGTTCCGTTGACTAAAAAAAAAAGTGTAACACTGATTAAAATTCTCAGTTTTTTCAAAACTTTCCAAAGTTCATACTATAATAATGTATTATGCACCTAGCATATTGTTCTTATCAGTCAATATTAAGTTTCACATTATTACATTTATTACTATTTTTTATGTCCTAAAAAAACATAAAAATATATTACATTTATTTCTCTGCCTTTAAGACAATCAGAAAATATTAAAATAACTGTTAGGGACAATATTTTTTAAAATGAATATTGCCACCTAATTTAAAAAGAATAAATAATTAATCAAATAAAATATATTATAATACATAAGTATTATTCATAATATGTTATACAAACAATTTTTTTTTTCTTTGAATAAAAACTGAATCTTGAGTTTCACAACACTGGAATGTAAAACATCTTAGCTATCTTAGCTATTTAATTATTTTTGTATCTATTATTGGTAAATCAAAAGAATTTAATATTGCATTCAGTGTCTTTAGATTAATAAAAAAAATATGCACATTCTAACATTTTACTTTTTATAACATTTATGTTTTATTAATACTTCTTATGAAGTGAATGCCATGTTGATGATTGTGTATTAAACGATCTGCATTAAATAATAACAGTTTCAAAATTTCAATTAAAATTTTTTAGTTACTCAAAAATCATTTTTGTATTCATTGTATATAACAATAATGCCCAAGAACTCACTTGGAAAGACAAATAGAAAATCTTCCTCTTTTCTTACTTCCTTTTGTATCAAAATTAAGTGACAGCAATTTGCAGTTGCATTTAATGATTGAGTTAGGCTGTAAATAACCTGTATATAAGCAATACACAATATAAAATATGCCTTTCAATAGAAGATGGCCAAAGCCGAAATGCTAACTCTTACCAACTCTTAAGCACATAACAGTACATGAATATCCAGACTTTCACACATCTATAAATGTGTGATATAAGACTACAAAATGAAAACATCTCTTCCAAAAAATCTTACATCTGAATATCTCATAAATTTATGGAAATAAAAGTTATTATTTTCCTACACTGAAAATATATTTCTCATAGGTACTTACCTCTTCTCACATGTATAACTATTCTCATTCAGTGCTTCTCTTTATATGCAAAAATTTTTCGCATGCCGCAAGCCTCAAACTCCCATGTATCCATGATCAATGTGGTTCAACTGTGTCTCCCATGTAAATCATCATAAGACAACCCTCCTGATACATGTAATGTACCCAATAGGTAGGTATTTATCAGAAATATATTTTCAGTGTAGGAAAATAATAATTTCTGATACAGCATATTACCTCCACTCACATGTTTAGCTAGAATCCCACATTGAATAGGTAGAGGGACTGGTGCAAGGGATAGAAAGAAGCATCCAAAGAACACCCCTGAAGTGTGATCCCTGTTGGGAGAGGAACACATATGGGAGACCACACCACTTCTTTACCAGGTATACTCTGCACTCAGTGTAGAAATAAGGGTCGCATACATGGGTAGAAAGAGGGAGGAGAACAACCAAAAAAGGTTTGGAATCCGAACCACAGCATACCAGAATCTCAGTCCCACAGAAGAACCATCTACAGAGAAGAATGTGAGGAAAGCTAAAATGGATGTTCTGCAAGGTGTAGAGTGGCTAGGGCACAACGGACTATATGTGGCTGGTCAACTCCAGTCCCAAAAAAAGCAGTATCAGGAATAGGACCTCCAAACCGTGGTAGGAGGAGGATCCACACTATCTTCACCTCAAGTTGAATAGAATGGAAGTATAAAATGTGCAAACCAATCTATGATTTGGGCACATGTGTGCAAATCCACAACCACCTGGTAACCCAACATCTGAATGATGGTAGGAAGAGATGTGTCAATGTGGCAGGTCACATCAAACTCAAACCCAATCAGACTGGCATATCACTGTGCAGTGTAAACTCCCTGAGGTGAAGCACGAGAGGTAGAACCACCACCCTAATCAACATTATCCTCTGGATAGGACCACATAGAAGCCAAATGCAATGCCACCTTCCGGGTCTCACCACATGGAAGTGGATCACCTCTAGAAAAATATAGCAAGTGCACCCTCCAAATAGAACCACACGAAAGCTGGTTGCAACATTAACCTCCGGGGCCCACTGCATGGAGGTGGAAATCATGAGGCAAATTCAGTGAGAAAGATGAAACAAAACTAACACATGTGAGGGTTTATGTTGATTGGTCCAGATCTAATCCAAAACCACTCACTGAGAACTGACATCCAGGTGATGGAAGTATGAGGGATCCCAATCGAAGGGGCAAAGTACAATGTGACGGATCTACTTCCAAGTAACATCATCCTCTGGATAGGACCACACAAAGGTTGAAGTGCAGTTGCAACCTCCATGTCCCACTGCATGGAAGTGGATTGCATCTATAAAATATAAGCAACCTCACCCTCTGGATAGAACTGCACAGAACTGGGTGCTACATCAGAACCCACTGCATCAAGGTGGAGTGCATGATTGGAGGATCAAATGCCATCTTCACCAGCAGAACACCACCACCCTACTCTGAATGGAAGCAATCATATTCAGAAGGACTCCCTCCATGGTCCACCATCCCAGCAGCTCGGAACTGGAAAGTAGCAAGGACTTCCATACTGCACTAGAAGAACAAGGGGGACAAAATGTGGTGGAGAGTCCAGAGGAATGCCAACACCAGAGAGAGTGCAACAGGTGATCACAAAAAAAAACTATTTTGAAAAGCAGACAACCCCTGATTTATTCAATTGAAGGGATGGGCGGCTATCCCCTTTTGCTTTAACCATGTAGTCCATGGGTGAGTGCAGTCCAGAAAGGGCATACTATGAAGCAAACAAATTGCAAGGAAACCTATGAGCAATTTTGTGGAGCACCCCATCTTGGCCGTACAGTGCAGATTTGAGAAATATAAAGCATTCCTGGACAGGCAACACTCTCTACTGAGTGGGATCTTCAATGAAAAGGGACATGTCACTGAAATGAAAAATCATATATATAGAAAAGATAACTTACCCTGTAACAGCCTCACCTAAGTTTGAAGGATGGCGACAGGTGTAAGATGGTACCCCAATAAGGAAGAAACAACCACCTAATGAAAATAGTGGGAGATAAACATATGAGGTGTAGTACAAATGTCTAACTGAAGAATTACCTCCAATAGACAATGGAGGTGACACCAGGGTAAAGGTAAGATGTAGGATGTAATGCAACAACACCTGGAACAGATTTTGGGAAGGAGACATGAGGATTATGCCAATTGAATCAATTGCTAAACCCAATTGGTAGGGTAAAAGGTCATGAACAGAGGATTGTTGCCAGGGGATGAAAGGTGGGAACAGGGTCCCTGGAAGAAGCCATGTAGGCAATGTAACAACAAAGAACATGTTTGGGACATAGAAATCTATCCCAACCCCACTGGAATAAAGGTGGAATATGGATGGAAGTGAAAACTGGGAGAAGGAAGAATGTCCCTCACAAGCCACTGAAGTTTTGGGAAAGACCAATCTGGTTAAAAGAATAACATATGTTGAATGGTACAGTGTGCGTGAAACGTCAATGGTAAATATATCAGACCGACAATACCCACAGGCTAAAAAAAGTAGGAAATAAATCTTGAGGGATAAGTGAAACAAGAAACATGAGGACAAAGATTCAATTGGGGGTAGAGTAAGGCAGTGAAGAACAAAACTGACATTCCAATCTGGAAGGACTGCCCAATGAGGATGTTTTTGAATTAGGAAGGAACACAAACAAATGATACCAGGAAAAATGGAAGGTTGCTGCTTGATAACCAGCTATGGAAGAGACATAATTCCTATGACTGAACAGCCATGTGAGGAAATCCATAAGAGGAGGAACAGTGAGCCAAGAAAGGGAAAAACCCCAACTCAAAGACTAATAATGGAAGACATTCCACTTATGTTGATAAAACTAAATAGAGGAATGACGAATGGACCATGCTAAGAAGAAAGCATCATGCCTAGACAATCCAGATCTCCTTGCCAGGGACCTGATAAATGCCAGGCATGAAGACAGAGGGTAGGAAGGGCAGGGTTGACATAGTAGGGATGGAGTGAGAGGAAGAGGGAATGGAGGGGTAATTTGGTGCTGAAGGAGACAAGGACACCAAGGTTGTGGCAGCCAGTAAGGAGCAATCAGAAGGACCTGACATGGAGTAGCACGAATGATTGAAGTCACCCTGGGAAGAAGTTGGATGGGAAGATAAACAATGGAACAGGTGCTCACTTGGTGATTGGTATAAGCCATCACCGTAGAATTGTCCAAATGGATCATGACTAGTCGATTCCATACAATAGGAAGAAAGTGATTCAAAGCACATTGTACTGCCAGAAGCTCCAAGATGTTGATTTGATAAGACCTCTCAGCCAGAGACCATTGCCTTGAAGCCTCCTGCTGATTGATCCCCCCAACCATAGAGAGAAGCTTCTGTAAATAGATGCAAATACAGATGAAGTGGAGAAAGCAGTACCCCTGTAATCATGTTGTCCTTCAACCACCAATGTAAATCATCTAAAAGGATAGGAGGAAGGGTAATTGGTCGTGCAGAGTCCACTAAAGAGACTGCACATGTGCCTGACCCAAAAGCAATGAACCTCATGAGTAGAAAGAGAGGGAGCAGCAAGGATGAGTAGACTTGAAAGCTCCATTGAACGGAGTCAAAGAGGAGAAGGTTGGGCCCAACTGAGTTGAGTGTTGAAACAAAAGACACATAAGTGGATAAGATATTGGGTAGGTAATAGGAAAGACTTCTCCAACTGGAGAAAATCCAACCCATTCGAGCTGCTTCTGTCAGAATGAGATGAGTGTGTTGTGAAGATTCCCATATGGAATGAGCTAACAGAAGCCAGTCGTCCATGTAGTGGTGTAAATGCAACCCCTGAGCATGCAGAAGTCAGGCAAAGGCATTGACCACCCAATAAGCCCAAAAGGCAAAGTGCAAAACTGATACACAACCCTGTGATAGA